CAACAAGCGCTGACCATTCTTGAGGGATATTATAACACTTGTCATGTCGATATTGATATTAGCCTCATCTCGATCAATTTCATTCGTAATGACAAAGAAAAGTATGATGAAGGGCTTGATTTTGTCGAACTCACTAAATAAAAATAATGAGTGTAAGTCTGCATCAAGCTTCGGCGAGCACTCCAACTTACAGACACTATTGCTCAAAAGTAGTTTATCTAACCATTATTAATTTATCGTAGAAAAAGATGAAAAAAAAAATAATTAATTTATAAAATGCGCTTTTTTCGTTCGACACATTGGCTGTTTGATTTATGTGATCTTAAATTCGCTGTCTCTTATGACTTTTCAAACCATAATACTACGGATTTTTCAACCTTGATATTGTGGTTTCTTGGACATCAGGCTGATAGACATATTTGTTTATAAACGGTCATAGGTAGCACCTTTTCTCATGTGTTCTTGTGGAATTGTGATGTGGGTTCCACATTTTGGCTCCATTGGAGCTGCGCTAACAATGCTTTTTCTCAACGAGCGATGGCAATCTACGGGAAATATTACTCATCTGGTCATGTGTATATCGCTGCTGCTCGCAACACCATTAGTGACATTCTGCATCGGCAAAGCCAGAATAACGAAGCTATCGGCATGTATCGACGAGCACTGTTCATGCAAAAGGAATATGATCCATCTAGCCGTATCAACACCGTTTATAGTCTCAGTCACATTTGACTCTTTTACTTTGGGGAACGAAAATATGATAAATCAGTGAAATTCGTGAATAATGCTTGGGATTTCACAGAAATATTATTCATCTATTCATTTTGACATTGTTTGTACTCTGAACAACATTGATGATGAAATAAACGGAAAATAAAAGTACGATGAGGCTCTTGATGTTCATCGACGGATACTCGCAATGCAAAATATGTTTTATGCATCTTATGTTGCTCACATGCCTGACTGTGTCAAATAAAGAAAACTTTTCGACACTCATACACATATTTCATTATCTTACAGCTTAGTTTTCAAAAATATTTGTACAGGAAAGAATAAAGTGATAATTTATTTTTTCAATAGTACATTGTTCAATTACTAAGGTTAGGGTATAGGTGCCACAGCGTTGCTTTTTAGTGCATCAAAATATTTTAATGGTAATAATACAGAAATGATAGTTCGGATCTGTCGGTGGCAAAATGAAAATGCATCTTTGATTTTACCCTTATAATTAGGCAATGACAAGACGTTGACAAATGGAAATAAGAACATAACATAATATGAAAAAAATTCTCCAAATACTTCATAGTTGACACCAAAATTGACCGGTATGCAGCAGGATTGAATCAATTCTATAATCATGAATGGAATATAAAGAAAGAAATAAAGCATTACAATAGCTAGTAATTGTATTGTCATTTTTTTATGCTTTCGCCATTGAATATGTTGATGTATTCGACGTCGTTGTAAGAGAACGCGTACAAGAAGAGCAATACTGAATACAACAGTTGTTAGAGTGGGTAGCATTTTATTTATAGCAATATCCCATACAAGCATTGGTCGTATGTCATAATAGCAAAGTGGATATCCACACACCGACATGTTATAGTTGAATCTGTTTTGACATGGTGGAAATAGAATCGTTATAAAATGAAATACGATACAATAGAAACAGAGTACACCTATTGGAAGATAATGAATAAAGATGCGTTTTTTATTTGTTGACAACCACTGTTTATGAAAGATAAGAATATGTCGTTGAATAGAAGCTCCACCTACTAGTATTAATGAAAGAGAGAAAAGTGTTTCATCGATGAACATCCAAAATAGACATAAGATGGGTGAGGCTGGCCAAACATTACCCAAATGATAAAAACTGAGTGATAATGGAATATCGATGAGTTGATACACCAAATTATTTAATAGAAGTACGATAATAACATGATTATTAAGTGCATTATGTAGAACTTTATCGATAAGTAAATGATAAAGAACGAAAATAGAACAAGCTAACGATGGAATTAAAGAAAATAGATATACCCAAAATCGAATTGGATAAGGAATTAAGAAATCAGGTTCTTGTAATAATTTATTTTGTATCATCCTTTGAATCTGTGATGTATTTCGTCGAAGAATACTTTGCAAGTCAATTTTCTTGAAAACACCCTACTGATAGGCAAGAGAGCCTAGTGAAAAAGTGAGAATGATGGTCGAGAAAATATGTCTGCTCAGTTTTGTCGAATATCACTAGTTTCGATGGATTCTTTTCACCTTTGGAAGCAAACACTAAACCTAAACTAATTAGCGCGATATACAAGAATTTAAATTAGGAGAAAAAGCGTCCCTTCATGTTCGTCACCAGTATTTCCGGACGATCGTCTCACTCTATTGTGTTGATGATGATTATGATTTATTAATTTTACGAGAAATAACACACTTCATGATCAAATGAATGCAATAGTGTAGAAGAACTGCCTGACTTTTCATTATAAATTCAGGACTTCGACTCAAATATGGCGAACATTAAATATTTGTAACCAGTATTAGAACTGCAAAAAACATTCATGTCTAAAAGATAGACAAGCTAAAAAGCTTCCAGCACGATCCCAACATAATCAAAATCGAAAACATGATGGAACTGTTCTATTTCAAAATCAGATTTCGCATTGTGTCGATGACAG